GTTTCGTGATTATATGTTATACAGAAGTTTCATTACGATCGACCAAATAATAATGACTCTAACTTGTAAAAATATTGGATATTATTTCTCAGCCTAACCACACATTGCAGTTGTTAGTAGTATCCCTATACTAATGAAAGGATCAAAGGAAACAAAGCCTTGTAATATCGTTTCCTCATCCAAATGGTAAATAGTTTAAATTCAAGTGTTCTAGAAATGCTGCTACAAGAAAATTGAATACAGGTGTCGTTCCACATGCACAGTTCGTATGTTTGATCATGGACAGTACACATTTAGTGATAAGTCTCATTCAAGATAAAGAGAAAAGAAATCTGTTACGACAATTGTAAGCTGTCTGCTGTCATCTGTTGTACAGATATTCCATAAAAGATATATGTGTTTGTTGCTCGGTTATTTTTTCGTGCAATTACTGCATTGTTAGAGTGCAGTTGATTGTAAAATAGACCTATTTTAGAGTTAAAAGAACCAAACACCTTGTTTACTTTATGTTCTCTAGCGAGAGATGAATTATTGGAGAATTTGTAAAATAAACATGTTGCCTCTCTGCATAAATTGCGATGTACGTCAGGATAAACAAAATATGTTTTCGAAAAATAGATACTTAACCCACAAAAATTACAAATAAAAAATAAAATGGGTCTTCAATTCACTTAAATTCATTGCGAATACCGAAATCAAGATGGAAAAAAGGGACTTCAAACGAAGCGACGGAGGTTGCATGGACACTTTAATACATGCACCAGTCGCCACACGAATCCGCACATATAAATCTTGTCAAATTGGGTTAGAACGCAATTGGTATAGTACAGTTAGCCGCAGAAATCATTAACCGCTTTTTATTGTCATAAACTCAGAAAAAAGCGGGAACTGGGCAGAGTAGATTTTCCTCTGATACCTCAAGATATTACATTTTTAAAAGATGTCATTTTGTTGGATGAAACACAGACAAATCGTATCGGATAAGCAATTTGTAATTGTAACAAAGGTAAAGATTTACACTTGTTATTCAATCGCTGTGGAGAAGGGATAAAAATATTCAACCTCTGTCCATTCATTTGTCCGTTTAATAAAATTTCTGTTGCATTTTCTCAGAAACTACAATTTAATGCGAGCACACATTTGTTAAAACGCTTTTTGTTAGCATGATATAATTTGTCATGCATTTTCACAAATCACAATTATCACCTTCTTGTTTTGGTATAACCTGTTTTGTTTTTTACACATAAAGGTCGTGTATGAAATGTTTGTCGAATTTTCTCCAGAAGCTCCCTATGAGAGATTCCTGACATTTTATATTAGGCTTATAGTGAAAATGTTATATCATGTGATACATTTTTACATTCATGGCTCATCAACGTTCTATTGACTGAATACTTATGTATATGTAAAAAACATATAAAATGCCCATGTATATAAAATTCGTCATATTTTCCCTACGAACTACGAATCAAAAGCACATTAACATTTGCCATTAGTGCTAAACCGTGTGCTCTGCTTTAACGTGTATTGCTTTTCAACTTCCTGTCATCCGAATACTTATAGCGGGGGTATCAATTGAGAGGAATAACTCTCAGTTCAACTTACTTCATTTAGGAATTGAACGTATTGATGAACTGTCATTTAAATATTTGATCATAGTCAAAACTTCAATTCTTTACCGTACCATTAATCATGTGTTTTACATTTTAAGGTATTTCGTTTGTCGTATGATGTATGCTCTCTTAAAGCGTATGATAAAAGAAATCGAATCGCAATTCGTATGACGTATGGCATATGATGCTTTCCTCCTTACATGCAATCTCAATTCAAGTAATATTTGTAGGTGTCTTGTTTAGAATAAATAAGCATTGATCATAGTTAAGTTTAAATCTATATCGTAATGATTAAAAACTTTGAAACTGGAAATCATTTAAAAATTTACAAGCAAGGTATTATAAAGATTTATAAATGAATGTTCATGAACACCGAGTTGTTTGCCGACATTGGTTAAAAAAAGAGAAAAAAAAAATAAGAAATTGGATAGGCGTCACATATTCTGTTCGTGTTTTACTATGATTTAAATGAATAATGATATCTATATTATATCTTCATATCCATATAACAAAGTTTCAGAAGCCCTTAGATATAGAGGTATACAATTATTTCGTGTGTGCGTGACGATTTTTTTATTAGAGAGGTGCAGTGTTTGTTCTATTATATAATGAACCATGTAATATTGATGGTGTACCTTATCTAAAGTACATTATAGAAAAATGTAATACACTTCAAATCTATTGAACATCAAGATATTACTAAACTTAACTGTCATGCACCACCTCTTGAGAAATTCAAACCTGGTGGCTATGAATCCGTTGTCATAGGTGATGTGTCTGTCCTCTCATCGGAGGGTAACGTATCTGTTCATGATGATATTGATATTGTTAGACAACATAACAAAGAATACTTGCAGAACCAAAAGGAAGAGGAAGAGAAATTTAAGAAATCGTATGTATATAGTGACATTATACGAGACATATATTTTTCCCGACATGTCTTATTCATATAAATATGTAATGTATAATTCAGTGTACACGACTAATACGACTAACATGACTAATATAAAATATAGTTTATATAATTTCTGATGTTCGAGGCTTACACTATGGTTCCTTTTAGAGTAAGGTTGAACCAATCTTGTTTGTCTATAAATCTTGGGAAGGTGTCTCCGCTTTTTATGACATATTACAGTCATCACAAAAAGATACCATCTGGGTTTTTTTCTTTCTTATACTGTCTTAAATCATTACACTGACACGTTCAGCAGTGACACTTTCCCCAGTGTTGATAGAGAAATCACTTTTGGTAGGTTTTTATAAAGATCTTTTATTTACTGAAAATTGTCTTCAAAACAGCCTGTAAGATCCTTTGTATGCAGTTCTTTTGACAGGGAATGAAAAGGAAGCCATGACGGGGCTTTTCATGGCTGCCTCATTTCCTTGTGATTTCTTCTTAAGTGTATTCAATGTTTGTAACGACTGTGAAGAAAGTTTAAGTTTTTTTATGTCAAATTTTACTTATATTCAAATTTCAAATTATCAGTTTTTTCTTTTCACTTTAAGTTTAAATTTTGCTGGTTAACTCGGTTTGCAACGTGTGAAGTTTCTGTTATTTATCAGTTAACTGGAGAATATATCTCAAATGTAAGTGCTAAGCGTGTGAGTCATACACTTTTTCAAATTTGGTTTTAAGATAGCTCCGGAAGGGTTAGCAGATACTTTACCACATATTGCACCCGTCGTGTTGACCATGTAAGTACAAACCCGGTGATAAGTCTAATTTCGGTAGGTAACATTCGATAAAAGGAGGACGACATTGTGGTTACGACAATTGGATTTTTTCCGTCGTCATCTATGCAAGAGATATTTCATAACGAGCGATGTTTTCAACTTCACCTCTTTACACTCTTTGTTAAAAAGCTTCCTTGTAAGCAGCATTACTCTATCAAGGAAATTGTGATAGGAATAATCAAGTTCTGGAATATTGTATCAATTGAATGTTTGGTATCCGACAGCCCCTCATTGTCAATTTCTAGATGTAATATAAAAATAGGGAGATGTGGTATGATTGCCAATGAGACAACTATCCACCAAAGTGCAAATGAAGTGGATTTAAGCAATTATAGGCAAGCATATAACCTTCAACAACGAGAAAAACCCATACCGTATTGTCGGCTATAAAAGGCCGCGACATGAAACAAATATGAAACAATTCAATTGAGAAAACTAACGGCCTTTTACAACCACTGAACTACAGGCTCCTGATTCGGGACAGACACATAAAGAATGTGGCGGGGTTAAACATGTTTGTGAGCGCTCAACCCTCCCGTAACCTGGGATAGTGGTGTAACAGCACAACATAAGCACAAACTATAAAAATCAGTTGAAAAAGGCTTAATTCATTAGATGGATACAACTAACAAAAAACACAGAGTGGACGTGTACAGGTACTTATACATCCCCACAACAAATAGACCCTAAGTAGAGATCTGAGAGTACTTGCAGCTACTGACATCAAGTTCAAAGTCATTAACAACTAATAAAAAAATCGTGTATCTAAGACTTACCTATCAAGATATAAAGCAGACTTAACTGTATCTGTTATGTCCTTTATTTCAAGTTCGATGTGATATATGCTTTCACCAAGGTCGACAACTTTGAAAAATTTAGTTAGAGGACATCATCCAGCTAGGAGAATGGAAAGATAAAGGACAATACTACTTTCTTTTCATTCTTCCTAAAGAGATCCTATATAAAGTCAGCCTTTATAAAAACAAATATGTTGTCTATCAAGAAATCAATCTTGTGATAATGTCAGTTTCAGAGAATTTGTTATTTGAATTAGAGTTATGTTTTACAAAGTACGGTTTATTTCGTCCTAATACGAGATAGTCATCTACGTTAGCCACGTTTTTTTTATGAAACAAAGCAGGAGTAAAATTTTTCAATAGTATGTCTTTTAGCTTGAAATGGGGAATATTTGTATAAAGGGTAGAAAAATAAAATGTTTTAATACTATTGTATGAGGAAAGAAACTCAGATTGTATGCATTATAAAAGATCTTCGGAATTGTTCGGTATCCACACCTGATTCACGCCGCCCCTAGAGTAGGTAGTTTCACAAAAACTTTCAAGCCCGGCTTTGATTGTTAATAAAATTGATGTTAATAATTTAAAAAGAGAATCGGTGGAGCACTTTGAAGACCCAGCAATGTAAAAATTTTGTAAGGACACTTATGTAATTTAGTAACCCAATACAGTGAAGGCAGATTCAGTTATTCGTCTTATTTGAAATTCTAAAGGAACTTATATAGAAACAACCGATAATTATTTAGAAGTATGTCTTTAGTAAGTGTCGTGGGATAAAATGTTGAGTTTGCAAGTAAATTGTCAATACCTAATTTTTTTATCAAGCAACTTATGTAATGGTATTAACAAAACAACGATGTTGTTTGTGGTTTTACCTGCGGTGACAACAACCTATGTGTCATGGATAAGAAGTACAGTGCATTAACAACAGTCGGGTTTTTAAATACCGAATTAGCGTGCGTATTCAAAGACCCATTCAGTGTTTTAATTCTAAATTGTATCAACGACCTCACATACTTAACTAATTCGGAAAGAGTATCGTTATCTTCTTCGCGTTTACATAAATAAGAAGATGTTGTTTGAGTGTCAATGAGACAACTCTCCATCCAAGTCACAATGTGTAAAAAGTTAACAATTATAGGTGGTACACATTAAAAATAGTGAGACGAGATATGACACAAAATAAGTAAACATTGAATTACAGAAATGCATTACATATTGTGACAACAGGTCAAATTAACACGAAAGTACGATATGAGAGTTCTGGCAGTTAGCCCATGAGGAATTAGGTGTCCTCAATGCTCTTCAACTTATTACTTATTATTATTGCTTGTATGATAAAATTAACTAGAATGAGAGTTAAAAGTACCAAAAACCTAGTTCAGATGTTGGTCTTAAGATGATGTATTGGAGAATTTGTAAAATAGACCGGTTGTCTCTCTGATTATTTGACATCAAATTTTTGTTATATATTATAGACCGTCTACTACTACATCATCAGAATATGGAAAGGAAAACATGAATGTAATATTGAAATCTCGAAATGAAAATACTTGCGACAACTCTCCAGACCAGTATGCGTCATCAGTACCAGGAATATACGATGTACTACATGACAAAAGACACAAAACAGACAATGGTGAACAATTTGATAGAATGTTTGAACTCAAAAGCTTGCCTGAAAATAGAAACGAGACGTAAGTTTGGATTATTTTATTGGTTATGTTTATTCCTTGAAATAAATAAATTGTATAGCTACATATTCAATATTGAACATTGAATTCGCATGTTTGCATTAATTGAGATAAACGTCATGATAAACTATAATTTTTTTTAGAAAAATATATACTTGAAAACATTTACTAAATTCTTTCATAGATACAAAGATTGGATAAGTAAATCTGGCTGTACCTGTAGAAAACGTAATAAAAACGGTATTTGACATCCTAAATTTTACGGTAATATTGTACTAAAAGCGCGGAAATCACTATGTGATCCATGTAAACTCATCGAACCTTTAAAAACGTAATTAGTGAAGATTGTCTTATTAATGTTGTAATAAGATCTTTTAATATTGTTTACATTGGCACTAATATCGATTTTGTCATCAACAAATTAAAACATAACTAAATTTGTATTCTTTTCGAATGGTTATTGGGATGTATAAATACTCCTCCACGGTAATTTTTTATTTAGAGATTGCTTCATCTATATATAGCATAATACATATTTATTATAAGGGTAAATCCTAACGATCATACTGCCTGTCGATACTTTTGTTTTAGCATTGCACAAGTCATGTCTTTTAACTAGCTTTCAGTAACTGCGAGTACTCTCAAATCGTACTTTCGTGTTAATTTGACCTGTTGACACAATTTGTAATGCATTTCTGTAATTCAATGTTTACTTATTTTGTGTTATATCTCGTCTCACTATTTTTAATATGTACCACCTTTGATAATTATTTAGTATGACGATAAATTTTCACCTCTGTACTCGTCAATGAACAATAAATTTATTAATTTTGTAAAAAATATTTACTTCTGTACTCCTAACGACAAAACTATTATATTCAAATTTACCTGTGCACGTTGTTTTATTTAACGCCATGTTGTCCCAGGTAACAGTTGTCTTATTGACACTCCAACTACATCTGTTTTATTACTACCTGTAAATTCCATGTTATATAGGCACCTACTTTTTAATATTGTATTTATATTGTGTCATAGATCAAACTTATTCGTTCTGTGTATGTTTACTTGTTTTTGTTTATATGTTTTTTTGATGGAGTTAAGCTATTTCAAATGATACTTTATTATTTGTCTTTTTATATTGTAATGTTACACTACTGTCTCAGATTAGGGTGAAGGTTTGCGCCTGTTAAAACGTTTAAACCCGCTGCATTTTTATGCATCTATCCTAAGTCAAGAGCCTGTTGTTCAGTGGTTGTCGTTTGTTGGTGTGGTTCATAGGTGTTTCTCATTTCTCGATTTTTATATAGATTAAGCCGTTGGTTTTTCTGTTTGAATTGTTTTACACTAGTCATTTTGGGGCCTTTTATAGCTTGCTGTTCGGTGTGAGTCAAGACTCCGTGTTGTAGGCCGTATTCTGACCTATAATTGTTAACTTTTTATACATTGTGACTCGGATGGAAAAACTCATACCACATCTTCTTATTTATATTAACTGACAGCAATTACAAATAAAAAATAAAATGAGTATTCAATACGCCAGTTCCGAGATACGGTAGTTAGTTGAATCTGTCATGTGACTTCCATAACCACGTGACAAAAACGAAGGCATCGTCACTTCCAACACATGTTGAGCGAATAGATAAAAAGTTTGTTAAATAAAAGATAAGAGAAGATAGGTTTAACAATATGCTTTAAGAAAATAAGAAGAAAAAATAGTGTCACCGACATTATGTTCTTGCTACAAGTAAAAGTTGAAAATGTCTCTATCAATTCTTTATAAAATATTTACTATTTGAGTTATCTCCCCTTAAATGGCTAAGTTGACAATTTGATTTGAACAAACACAAATATTTAGTATTTGTTAAATCAGTCTGAATAATGCAATACGTCAATTATTTTCTTTTATATCATTAAACAGTCAAGCTAACACATTAATAACCAGTCTGTCTCATAATTTGCAAATTTAAGCAAAGAACAAGACCGATTGTGAACTGCTGTTTTACAATCCAAGATGGCGATATACAGTTAATCTACCTTAAATGATGCTGTAGTCTAAACCAATAAAAACCGAAAATCAAACATTTGATGAAAAAGCTTAAGGAGCTGATAAAACCAACAGCACACATAATATAGCTATTTCCGGATGGGTATTCGGGTGATATATTCCCAAATTTAAAATGATTTTAAAAATAAAATTTTAAAAAATGTGAACTTTAAGTCCTCGAGGATATTATCTGTCCAGTAATCCGAACTTTGACACTGGAATGAAAGTATGAATATTGTTTGAACGAAATTTGATGTTGTAGTAATAACAATAACGGTACCAGCGTTATGCCAGAATATTTGAAATCCAAAACCGAATACATATTTGTACAAACGTTAAAAGGATGAAAAAAAACAAAAGCACATAAAGTTTAGGCAATTCCATATGAGTATGAAGGAGAAATATTTAATTTCATGCAAGTGTCGACTTTCTGATAACTGGGTTGGTTGTTTCCTTGGGAATTTATAGTCCACTATCAGAGATAATGACCGAGTGACAGTAATAAAAATAACGGTATAAATTTCATTACACAAGATATTCGTTTCTACAGTAAATGTATCTCCCATGTTGATTGAGGCAAACATATTTAATAAGCTTATATAGAAAAAGGGTGAAGGTTTGGTACCATTAAAACGTTTGTTTGCACCTGTCCTAAGTCAGGAATCTGATGTTCAGTAGTTGTCGTTTGTTGATGTGGTTCATAAGTGTTTCTCGTTTCTCGTTTTTTATATAGATTAGACCGTTGGTTTTCCCGTTTGAATGGTTTTACACTAGTAATTTTTTGGGGCCCTTTATAGCTTACTGTTCGGTGTGAGCCAAGGCTCCGTGTTGAAGACCGTACTGTGACCTATAATGGTTTACTTTTATAAATTTTGACTTGGATGGAGAGTTGTCTCATTGGCACTCATACCACATCTTCTTATATCTATTAAACGTCCTAAATGTACCAACTTTAAACAGCCGATGAACCCAAAATGCACCGAGGTGATCTCAGATAAAACCATGCAAAAGGGTCTAGAAGCAATGTTTTCCAAATTTGATATTACTTGGACAGTAAGTTGCAGCATGTATAAGCTTTCAAGTGACACATTATTTTTCTCATAAATTTAAAATGACTGTCGCACGGGGTCCATCTTGAAAAATCAGACCTTTCTCAAAATGGCTTTAAAATGACAACAAAATGTAGGCAAATCAGAATTTTTTTTACACGGTATTAAATCAAACAAACACTATAACATGTATAAACCATTTGTTACACACACATAGCGCAATTTGTTTTTACCTCATTTTCACAAAAAAAAATGTGAACTTTAAGTCCTCGAGGATATTATCTGTCCAGTAATCCGAACTTTGACACTGGAATGAAAGTATGAATATTGTTTGAACGAAATTTGATGTTGTAGTAATAACAATAACGGTACCAGCGTTATGCCAGAATATTTGAAATCCAAAACCGAATACATATTTGTACAAACGTTAAAAGGCTGAAAAAAACAAAAGCACATAAAGTTTAGGCAATTCCATATGAGTATGAAGGAGAAATATTTTATTTCATGCAAGTGTCGACTTTCTGATAACTGGGTTGGTTGTTTCCCTGGGAATTTATAGTCCACTATCAGAGATAATGACCGAGTGACAGTAATAAAAATAACGGTATAAATTTCATTACACAAGATATTCGTTTCTACAGTAAATGTATCTCCCATGTTGATTGAGGCAAACATATTTAATAAGCTTATATAGAAAAAGGGTGAAGGTTTGGTACTATTAAAACGTTTGTTTGCACCTGTTCTAAGTCAGGAATCTGATGTTCAGTAGTTGTCGTTTGTTGATGTGGTTCATAAGTGTTTCTCGTTTCTCGTTTTTTATATAGATTAGACCGTTGGTTTTCCCGTTTGAATGGTTTTACACTAGTAATTTTTTGGGGCCCTTTATAGCTTACTGATCGGTGTGAGCCAAGGCTCCGTGTTGAAGACCGTACTGTGACCTATAATGGTTTACTTTTATAAATTTTGACTTGGATGGAGAGTTGTCTCATTGGCACTCATACCACATCTTCTTATATCTATTAAACGTCCTAAATGTACCAACTTTAAACAGCCGATGAACCCAACTGCACCGAGGTGATCTCAGATGAAACCATGCAAAAGGGTCTAGAAGCAATGTTTTCCAAATTTGATATTACTTGGACAGTAAGTTGCAGCATGTATAAGCTTTCAAGTGACACATTATTTTTCTCATAAATTTAAAATGACTGTCGCACGGGGTCCATCTTAGAAAAATCATACCTTTCTCAAAATGGCTTTAAAATGACAACAAAATGTAGGCAAATCAGAATTTTTTTTTACACGGTATTAAATCAAACAAACACTATAACATGTATAAACCATTTGTTACACACACATAGCGCAATTTGTTTTTACCTCATTTCAAACCTCAATCATATTGTATTCAAAGGGAAATAACTTTTTAAAACTGGCAATTTGCCAAAGAATTGAAAATTTACCAAATTCGCAAATTTAAAGTATGTAGCTCTTAAAATAACACTTTATTTTTTAAATAAATATTATGAATTGACAAAACTTCTAACCCATACTGCTTTCATAAAATATTATGCTGGGAATTTGAGAATCATAAAGGTTTTGTCATCAAGGTTTGGTGATTTGGAAAAGTTGATATTTTTCATAAAGGGGTGGGTTCTAAAACTATTCATTATCTATACCTTAACTGCCCCAGTGAAAATGACTTAACCTAAATAGTGCATTAATAAAGAATCATTAATGTATGCCAGCAAGTTCATTTTCAATTTAATATGATATTTTTTTGAAATTACTATTCAAAAAGGGAAAAAAGGGGTGAATAAACATGCATTTTCTGTATGGGCTCCTTTTTCAATTTGTGAATGTTTTTCAAATAAACGTTTTTTGTTGTAATAAATAAATAAAAAAAAAACATTGGT